CACTAATGCTCACACGTCTTGTCGGTGGCCTGTCTGACTTGATGTCGAGGGTCTCTAGCGGAGGTCGTCCATCCTCGCTGACACGCGGTGTCACAAACCGCTTGACAAACCCGGCATTGTAGGACACCGACCTTCGACGTGCGGGTATGTCCGATGTGCAACTGTCCAAAGAACTACTTGCCGGGCTCGTGTTGACATGCGGTAGTTGATGTGAAGGATTAACAAGGGAAAGGCTTGGGCGAGCAGGGAATGTCTGCGCTCTCTGCGGACCACCACCATTGCTAAGTGTGCGTTTTTGCAACGTCGATGGTGTCCTGCAGATTCCCGATCCAGGCAATCCACTTTGTCTAAGGTTGACCCACGATGCCGTTGCAACCATCAGAAGTTTGATGTCTTCTGGCACCACTTTCGTCAATCGTGACTGAATTTCAGGAGGATTCGAGACGATCCAGTCGCTGGCAAGCTTAGAATCTAGTGGTGTGTTTCGAGTTGGAGGATAACGACCACTTGAGGTCGACATGGTATTATAAGTGTCAAAGACGTCCAGCGTATTTGACATTAGGGAACCCATGATTGGGTGCCGTCTTGTATCGGGGTGTATCATACTAAATGTCCACTTGACTTCCGTGGGTAACGGGCTCGGTGGTGGTGTCTGTTCTCCAGTATTCTTAGGCATGGGGGATGTTGGCGTCGAAGCCTTCTTGACCCATCGCGCCGTACTAATTCGTCCTCGCTCGTCGACTCCAATGAACTCATATGAGCCATTGGCCATCAGACTTGACTCCCAAGTCGATCCATCTTCCATCACGATTTCGGCGGACTCGTCACCCATTTGGGGAAGCGGGCTAATAACTGCAACGACGTCCCTTTGGTCAAGCGAGTCTTCGGTATCGAGAGATCCTGGAGATGCTGGCGTGTCATAGTCCTCACTGCGAACAATAAGAAGATCGTTCATGCCAAGGGTTGGCTTCGTATGGAACAGGTGAGGGCAACGCTTGGCCATACGAGGTACAATTTGAGAGCCCGTGATGAGGCTGGACGGTACTACATCAAATGCGGGTATTGGGCGCTTCTCGCCGACTTCTTGTAATTGAAGGAGTAGTCGTGGGCGATGGACCAAGCGGCGTTGTCTGGCTCCTGGTCGAGGTGCTGGGTGTGCAAGAAGAAATTGTGTAGATTTTCTGAAGGTGCGCTTCCTCCTCCTTCTTCGAGGTGCTGTGGATGAATCACTTAGATCACTTATATCTGAGCAGGCAGCAGAGCCTTCGTCTTCGCTCTGAACCTCTGACGGTGGCAGGTCGTCATCAGTTTCCGGTTCACGAAACCGAACCGACAGATCTCGCCGAGGCATGTACTCAGACTTAGGTCTAGGGCGAGAGGTCCGGCGCACCGGCGTCACTGTAGTCACGGGGGGGAGTTTCTCATGGTATGACATTGGTCGGGGTTGTGGTAAGAAAGTAACGTCTGCTGATAATGGCCTTGTTGTTTTATCAGCATCTGACCGGCGTCGAAGCGCTGATCGGAGGAAGGGCAACGCTCCTTGGGGTGCTTGTGTCTGTCGATTTGTCGAGTACTCGTGGCCGTGAAGGCTAGCACCAGCATGCAGAAACATGATAGCCAAGCCAAGTTCGGGTCGAGCTCATGCAGCAGCTCAATCCAAGGTGTCGTTGATATTAGACAGAAGATCAACTCTGTTGTCAGATATGGCTGAGTGAAGATTGATGGCGTATGTAAACAGATACAGAGACCACCAAGCGAGGCAGGTCAAGTTATGATATGTGTTTCAGTGGTTTTCAAAGCCGAATACGCAGCTAAAGCACAGGGCGTGATCGAGCAATAAAGTAACCGATCTGGCGGGATGTTAAGCCGGGGAAGATGTGGTCCGATGAGACCAGGATGAGCGAGATGGGATGATACGGAAATGGTCGACCCGCCGTGGAAGCCAGCACTTGGACAATACACGAACCGGCAGATGACGAGATGTTGGGTGAGGTGTCAAGAGATAAAGAGGTTGGCCCAATATCGTCAGGGGAGGTAGGTGTAGCCCTGCTTAGTACGGTGGATGGGAAGAAAGTTGGTATTATAAGAGACCGCGCGCAACTCTGTGTATGAACTGATCGCGTGGGGTCTGTCAAGTATTAAAGTCAGCTCTGAATAAAGCGGTCACCGTAAAAGACGGATGAAAAGCGAAAATGGTTGAGCGGCGGAAGGCTAGCTGTGAGGCGTTATGGGCTCATGGGTAAGGTGAAAATTATACGGTCAAGAAGACAAGGACTCGAAGCGGTGGAAGACACTCGGGTGTATATCAGAAGCAGACGCGATGATGGGCAGATCCAGGGGTCAAGCTGGGGTAAGCAGTGGCTTGCCTGGGCCGTCATGACATGGCCGTCAAGAAGGCGTCAACGGAATCCGCCTCAGAGCCAGGGATAGGGCGGTCAAGCCGCTCAGGCACAGCTCAACGATGCCGCGAGACTCCATCCGCTAATCAATAGAAGGGCCAGGGGTAGAAAGAGCGGCGCCGGGAACAGCATGCCGCAGACACGCGAAAACAGGGGACAGAAGAAGCGAGGTCGACTTACGTATTAGTGCATGTACAGCATGGAAAAGTGTTGAGTCTGGAGGCTAAAGACCCAAAAGGTGAACTGAATTATTTGTGAGGCTGGGAAATAGAAAAGCGAAAGTGAATGGGAAACAGAACGAGAAAAGGAAAGGAGAAGCTAGAGAAGGCGGGTTGGATATTAATTAGAGTCCAGGTGGTGACCTCAAGGACTCAAGCTGTTACTGGTGGCTGCCGTTGTCCCTGTCTACTCTATTGGCTCGAGATGTCTCTGGCGGTTTTGCTTTTTTGTTTGTGTACCGGTACCTTGGGCTTTGAGCGTTGGACCAGCTGGCTGGCTCCCCAGGATATTTCCTTTTTTTAGTAACCAGTCCTGATGATCGCATTACAGTGTTCCTGTTTTGTTTTTCACATATATTCCCCTTATAAGTCGATGTCGTGTGCCAGTCGAGTCTGTGTCACCAGATCGAGGTCTCCTTTCTAGCAGCGATCCTAGTCTCTCCGATCGAGGAAGCAGGGCCAGACAGTTTCTGCGAGCGTCGAGGGATCACGATCGAATAATGTCGACGGGGAAAGGAAATAGCAGAAACAGTCATCAGTTGTTGAGAAGAGGCTGGCAGATACCCTGCTCTCTCAGTCCATGCTCTTGCTTTAATAATCCTTTTTTATGTTAGCGGCCCCAAGTGCTGGAGCCAGCCTTGACCTTGAAAAGCATGGGATGAATTTTTCTTCTCTTTCTCTTCTTCCTTCTCCCGCGTCTTCCACCTCATCCTTGATATTAGTGAGGTGGGGGAGCGGGTCACTAATCCATGAACACGCCCGATGCATCCATCCTACAAAAACCTCATGCGACTGATGAGAGGCATGCATGCCGCTGCCCGCTAAGTTCAGCCCAGCCAATCTGGATCAGGGGATCAAATCGATATCTTGCAACGCTGGAATGAGTGTCTTATGAGGTGAGGTTGCCCTACCTCACCAGAGCCAGGGCCTTTCAGTCAATGCAAGCTGCGGCACCTCCCGTACCAGATTGGTCCGAGCTGGGAAATAGATGGACGCCAACCCGAACACGAGAAAGGCTGGCAAGCCAATCGAGTTAAATGAGACATGCAAACAACATGATTCAGACTCGTGAGCTCTTCCTAACGTTATTAGTGCTGTTCCTGTTATCAAGGCTGCCCTCGTGCCTCGACATCTGCTTGCTGTCCATAACGGTTTAACATAACTTTGTTCCGTTGAACCGGGAGTGATAGGGTGGATGTCAGACCTCTTGACACTCTTAGTGGCTGATCCACTCTTCTGGTTGCGGTGTTGCGGTCACAGAGAATGTAAGTTTTTACGGTTCTCAACCGCGATTTATTAGACAAATCCATCAGTCCATACATCCACATGTAGTATCAACGTAGTATCGGCTCAAAGTCAACTGCTCCGCGGGGTTACGGAATCACTTGCTACTGGTCAGCATCGACATTTATGGCAACCATTTGTTCACAGAGCGGGGTGCGTCGCACATTTTAGATGCCGCGACCATGTAAGAGCCTCAGTCTGAGTTCAAGCGTTCAAACAGGTTCCATGGACCAAGTCCCAATTCCATACGGAGTACCGGACATCACATTGCAAAGTTTACCTATCGTAGCAGTTCTTGCGTCCACCCTTCTCCGCAGATACGTCCTCAGTTACAAGTTCAGGCCAGATCACGAATCAATCTCTTCAATAGCGGTCGAGTAGTTGCATATCAGACCTAAGCTTTCGCATGCAGGCAACGACAAGGATGAGATCGTGCATGCATGTACATACATATCGCCAACTCAGAATCCTAGACCGCCTGTCTGTCAGTGAAACGAGCCAATTGCTAAATGACAACAACTACGAGCGCCGTTTTAATGGTCTGCTTTATCGTGTTATTGGGCTTTTGTTGGGGGGCCAGTTGAAGCTATCGTTAATTTTTTGCAGCCTCACACCACCTAAAACTCATCTTCGCATGCAACTCTCCCAGTATCATCTGGTCACAATAACAGCATGTTTCAAGCATTAAAACATCTGTTTCGGCCAAACTGATATCTCTAGCACTCGCCAATTCATAGTATTGGCACCTCACGTCATCCATAAGCCCAATCGGCTCCTGACAGCAATAACTGCCAGTTATCCCACAAAATCGTGTTGGCCCTTCTTATATTTTATCATGTTATGTGATGTTGGGTCATAAATTATTTGAGACGTGAGATCTATTGTTGTCGAAAATCGTTCCCCTACCTAACGTCCAGGGTTTCTGAGACTATTTTCAGTCCTTTCCAGGACTTAGCACCCTTTCGCCGATCATTAACAGAACCACCATTCTAACCGGCCACATGGAAGACTGGTAAAAGCGTAATTGGTATGTTCAATCCATGGGGATATTTTCTTGTCGCTAAATCTCTAGAGCAAAGGAGATCTAGAATGGGTCCGAATGCTAATGGCTGTCATGAAGCCTAGAGCAATTCGATTATACAGCAAGATATTCTTCACTCATCACAGATTGGTCTATTTATTGAAAGTTCATGCGATTCAACGACATAATATCGTACCCTGGCGTTGAAAACACTATTCCCATCCTCAAGGTACAGGTACTTTGCCCCATCCAGCCATTCTGGCCATCCAACGTCAGGGTGATGATAGCTTACTGAAACACCACAAACTCAAAATCATCTCACTTGTCACAAATTTTTCAACGGATCCCTTGCCCCGATCCATCATTCAAGCGCGCGGCTGCGTATCTCAGATCAATCAATGCCGGGCAACATCTCGGGAATCGGCAATTTTTACTTGTCCGATCCGTCCAGACGTTTCGGATGTCTCGGTACTGATTATTGAGACTACGAAATATTGATCAGCTCGCTGTTGTGGGTTAGTGGTCATCTTCACGGGAGCCTCGGGACAAGGATGGGCAACCATGAGCTGAGATTTGCATTTCAAGCCTGAAAACATCGTCAGCTGCTCAAATCATGCTGTTCTGATAGGATGGTCCGTAACATGCGGCTCAGCCCTCCAGTTAGCCAATGCAGCCCTACTCATACTTTAGCTTGTATTAGGCTGCGTTTGTGCCATGATGTGGCAAGAATTGTTTGAGTAGGTGTCCTCTAGCTTTCGTAAACTGACAACAAGGAACGCAAAACTTTAATGAATGAATTATTATTTGTCAAAGGCACGAAAAGCCTGAATCTGCGTTAGAGTCATTTGAGTTTCGGCCCCTTATTCTAGTATTTGTCGACGTTGGATTGCATATGTAACGGTTCCCTTAAGTTGTCAACCGTCCTGTGGGCTTTCGAGCAAGTTTGTCAACAACAGAATGCACTTGTTTGCTGAACATTGTCACTTCTTGTATTTGATATCAAGTTCTGAAACGGGGGAGGGGGGATGAATCGCCGATTAATAACAATATGACCTTGGCTAACACGATACGTGAGGGATAACAAGATATCTTAGCAACTTTTAGTGCGAATCGCAGTCTTCTCTGATCTGGATGACTCGCTTAAAGAATTACACATATTATCTGCAGGTAAACCAGCTGAGACAATGAGTTCCGAAGGGAGGACTGCAAATTGTCATATCTTTGAATAATTGCCTAAATAAGTTCGACATTCATACGGATACATCGGGAATAGCCCCTTGGTGATGACCGTTTCACTTCCCATGGATCTTCAAAATCCGGGGTAATTCTTAGTCATCGAGCCGCTAACCTGTAAAACTCCCCCACCATGTTCAAGCTTTCACCAACATCTAATCGCATGCATCAACACTAATATGCTTCAATTATACCGGTAACCTACATGTACACCTACCCACACGAACCGCAGTCGCCATGATTCGCCAGCACTTTGTCGCGGCGCGCAGTTCGCAGCATAGAGTCGCCGCATTGGCACTCTATCGAGCACTCTTGAGAACAGCGTCCAACGTGCCCTTACCGCATCATGTCCATCCTGGTGGACGGAAACACCCTTTAACAAAAATAGTGAGAGAGAGATTCGCCAAGAATAAGCCACTCACCAGCTTCAGGCTTCTCTACGACTCAATGGCTGCAGGATACAAGGTTTGAGGTTTGAACAGGATTCGGTCTACACGGTCTAATGTTCTGTTCAGTTCCTTACTTTATTAACGAAAGGACGAGATACAAAGTCGCCCGAGCACTCTGAAATACTTCGACATCTCTGCAAACGAAAATTCACGGCCAATCTTTCCCGTCTAGAAGCCCCCTCCTACAAAAAGCCACCTCGTTCGAAGCAGCGACTCAACCCTCCACTTTTCACCAAAGTCTCTGCCCCTGATGAGCCTGTTAAATACGAACCAACTATCCGGCCTCTCCCAAAAACTGCATTTGTAGGCGAGAGAAAGGTGCCAGTTACCGGTAACACTGCTGAGTTGCTATCGTTCGTTCGAATTAAGAAACCACAGCCGAGAGTGTTCTCGCGGGCAATTAGTAGAAAGACAGCCATATTTCGACGGTCTGTTAGAACTCTTCTGGGAGTTTCCGCTAAGGACATCCCGAGGGCTCGATTAGACGATCGATGGGACGCCATGATGGACAAACTGCTACTTGCGGAAGGCTTCACGGACAAAGTCGTACGGGATGGGCCACTAGCTTCATATCACTTCACTGCGACTCTGACAAAAGCTTGGTGGGATCAAAAACTTATGAAGATCACAAACGACCAGACGGCTCGCGCTAAAGCAGTGAGCAGTCTTATTGAAAAGGAAATTGCACTGGTCAAGGAAGAAAAGAAGAGTGGCGCAAAGCCAACTGATCCTAAAGTAGCAAAGGAGACTTTGGATACAATCCTAACAGAATATCGCCAAAAGCAGGCCGAAATGGAACGAACGAAAGACAATTCATTTGAAGACCCGTTTTTGTCTGAACAATGGGTCACAAGGGCACAAAAGTTAGAGGATGAATATGCCAGGAAGTATGAAGCCAGAGCGGAAGACAGTGGTAGACATATCTCGTGGGCAAAGAGGCAAGGGCTGGCCAAGAAAGAGAATACTCTGTTAGGGGCGGTGGAATCTGACAAAGAAGCTCAATTTTTCAGTCAAATTGCTACCATGCGAAGAGGTGGCCAATAACAGGGTCTGTAATCATCTTCTTTATTTATACCCAGGTCCTGTCATTCATAGCGGAATTAGAAAGAATATAGGTATGTACAATATTAGAGGTAGATGGGATATGATACGCTTTGTATTCACCTTTTAGCTGCAAATGCTGTTTAGATCGTAACTTGAAGTGCACAAAATTCCTAAAATTGTATGCCCAAAAAATCCACATCATTCATCAACGTCGCCATTCTGTCATGATACATGTTCTTAGACAGGTTCTGCCTCCAGCTGTCTATTAGACCTATTCGAGTGCGCGCGTGGTCGAGTAATCATCTTCAACGTCTTTTTTCCCTCGTTTGCGACTTCAGCCCAGCTCTTTAACGATTGGAGTGAGGGCACAGATGGTCGGCGTGTCTGGTCCCCGTCGATGCTCGCGAGGTCGGACCGAAGAGTTCTCGGGGATGACATGGTGGAAAATGGCATTGAGAAGGCAGGACTACTCGGCTCTGACGGCGCTGGCCGGGGTTCAGGGGTCACTACTCTCGCATCGGGTTGATCAGGCTGCCTGGACAATTGGCCCCATTGAGGTCCTTTTGCAGAGTCCATAGGAAGCGGGTTGCGGTCCAGGGCTGGGCTGCTTTGCAGAGGTGTTGGATTTGTCTCGATGCTATGTCGAGAGAATACTGACGAGGACATGCTGCTATCCGTGAGGCTTTGGTCACGGTTGAGATTCGGCGTGTCACTTCGAGACGGTGTAATTGGCAAGGGGAGCTTCGAGCCGGATCCACGCGAGCGCAAAGCATAACCCGAAATATTGGTGAAACTTGGCGATCTCGAGGTCGGAAATTCGATTGAACCTCTGGGGGTTATGTCATTCGGGGGCCGCGGTGAGACTCTTTGTCTTTGGAGTGGTGAAGCCCTCTGCTCTGGTGGGAGACGCTGATAAGACCGAGACCATGGCTGAAAGGCTGGCCTTGCCGCTGGCGTAACCGGCGTCGACTTCGATTTTGGTGACGACTCAAGCCCAGGCCCAGATTCAAGATTCGTTGTGCTGCTTCGGTAGGGTCGCGGCATCGCCATTTTGCTCGGGGGCTTACTCGCGCTACTCCTCCTTTTGGCATTATCTGCCTCTAACATATGACACCTATCCTCCATATCTTTTAGCTTCTTTTGAAGCAGGACCACAGCCTGCTTATGTTCCTCGACCTCGCGCTGGACTCGAGATTCGTATGTTCTGTCTCGTCCTTCGAGCTCAGCAACCTTTTGTTTCAAGCGATCGTTCTCTTTTCGAAGACTGGTCAATGTCGTGAGCTTTTTATCCCACTTGTCTTCGACCCACGATATTGGCCTTTTACAACACTCTCCATGATAAATTTGATGAATTCCTCCGAGCATGGATAGTTTGTCATCGATTTTGTATGCGTGTAATCGGTTTTTAGGGTTTGGTGTGATCATCCGAGCAATCAAGTTGACAACTGGCCGGGGACGAACTGTTTCTTGGCCCTCGTAGGTAAACATAAAAGGGGGGGTGACCAAGGCATGAGATGTAAGCTTTTCCAAGTGAGCATTCAGCTTCTGCTCTCGCTCACGAAGCTGTTCTTCCTGGGTATTCCTGGATGGGTATCTTAACGCTTCGTCAAACTCGGATAACCGAACATTATACAGAACGGTTGCAATATTTAGAAATACTAAACCAAGTGAGTAGATATCTGACAACTGCATGCTAGAACCGTTGTTGGCATACAATTCGGGGGCTCGCCATCTCTCAGTTCCCGGTACTCCCTCTGTCATAGTTTGATCCTGTCCACTAACATCTCTCGAGACGCCAAAATCAGCAAGGTAGACTCGGTCTGCCTTGAGCAGGATATTAGATGGCTTGATATCGAGATGCCTCACATCATTCTGGTGGCAATAGGCCAATGCGCGAGCAATGCAACCTATTGTATTGCGTAAGAATTCGAGTGGGCATTTTGTTGTCGAGTGGAGAAGCTGATCTTCAGATGATTGCTCTATGGCACTTAAATCCTTGATGTCTAAAGCATCCAGCCTCTCGAGGATATCTTCACGATCCCCTTCTCCCATGCGCAAGTATTCTAAGTCTTCGAGGAGAGTGCTCAAGTTACAGACGGCAGCAGGCCAGATGAGCAGGCATAATTCGTGGGTTCGAGGTGCGTATGTGGCAACCAATTTGACGACATGGCGATGGTCGAGTTTCTGCATAGTCAAGCTCTCCTTGCGCAAATCGTCGATAGTAAACCCGCGTCGCCGTGGGATCCTTTTACGTGCAAGACAGACAGACCCGTAAGAGACCTTCTCGACGCGACCGAATGCCCCATATCCCAGATCTTCGAGTTTAGCAAGTTTTGTGTCGAAGCGCTTCGCATCGGGGCCATTGAAGAGCGGTTTGTTTCTGCGCAGCCAATGTCAGCATCGAAGGTGTGCGCAGCTCATCGGCTATGAATAGCTTACATGCCGGGCCAACTATCATCATCATTCCAGCTTTCTATGATGCTAAGCTCCTGGAGCTCGCGCTCAGCCTCCCATACACGACCATAGTGCTGGGTCGGACCTGTTTGCCCGACTCTGGTCCATCCCCGGGCCCAGTCGCCCATGCTGAGGGACGCTGAAGGTAAAGCAGATGTCGTCGGGGGTGCGGTAGTGGTTCGCGAAATGGTAGCGCCTTCAAAGTAAAATAGGAGCCATAGTGTGACAAAGCCCGATATCTATATGGTTAGAGGGTCAACAATGACTGACGGAATTTGGCAGAATTGATTTTCTAGATAAAAGAGAGCAGGCCAGGCGCATATGCTGAAGGTGCTGGTGTGAAGGTGAATGAAGAGGTTATGAAACGACAGAATAATACTAAAGTCGTTTGTTGGTGGGTAGGAGTCCCGGGCCCCTGTCGCGAAAGTGGCAGTGACATTTTGGTGGCCTAGGTGCGTTCAGCGCAAAGCTGGCCCATTTAGGACTACCCTGAAGCAGTGGAGGGTCTTTGAGGGTTGGACAGCAGCTAATTGGATTAAAGGACACAAACTTCTGGTGCATGGATAGTCTATGTAAGTGGACGAGTGTATACATCTTCTCTGATCCTACTGCACGCATTAGACTGGATACAGTTGGTGCAAACAATGGTTAGCTGTCTCTCTGTCTTGCATTTACATATCAATTTTTGGTCCCGCCCAAATCCATCCCCCGCTTTGGACACTGCCTCTTCAGTGGGTCAAACGTCGCTCCGATCCGTTGGAACCCCACTAACCATTTAAGGCTGAGCAATGACCAAGCCCCTCTCATGCTTGATGCCTTGGTGCAAATGCATCTCATAGATTGTTCCAGAGAGTAGAACAGTAAACAATGTCTTGTGTAACATTGAAATAGTTGCCCTTTAAACCCAAGCACTTGTAAAACACCCCGGTGGAAAGATAACGAGCAGTTCCAAAGCCTAGTTTTCTGTTCCTGAACGAGGTGCCTATCTTGATTGACCATCACTTTTGTGACGCTAGTCGATAAGCAGACATTGATCGGCATTTGAGATCCTAGCCGATGCACAGCCCTCTTTCCCCTTCACCACCAACCCCAACATCATCTCACTTCTCTGCCCCTATCATTCCGCCATCATTTAAGTATCGTCCTCGCCTTTGCTCCGTACCCTCCGTACCCTCCGTACCCTCCGCAAATCCCCACCCCGGCATACGGAGCATAATCGGCGGAGCTCCGAGCTTCATCCGGCTTCACCGGAGTCATACAGTCGTTGTCCCGGCAGTTACATTTGATCATGCCAAAAAATTCATAAACTCGAATTATTTGTGACTACGGCTGATTATCACATGACTCATATTGACCGCATTCCCTGAGGCTATCCTCTCCGGACTTCATCGTTCAATACACCCTCCATTTCAGGTCACAACGTCATTTAGAATCCAGCCACCATGCTTGAAGAACCTCAGACCGCCCCTGAGTCGCTGCCAGCGCGGAAGCGATCTAAGGCGTCCGAAGAAAACGACGAGGAACGGAGTAAGAAGCGATCAAGAGGCCGTCCACGCCTTGACACCAGAGATGAGACGGCTCAAGATGTGAGTTCATGCGATGAGCCAAGCTCTTCACTCAGCCTGATCTCATTCTGACTAACAATTCCCACAGCGTCGTCGAACGCAGATCCGACTGGCTCAAAGGGCCTATCGTAATCGCAAAGATACTGCCATTACGACCCTTGAGGACAAAGTTAAGGATCTTGAAGATGCCAATGAAAACATGAGCAAAGAGTTCATGAACTTTTTTGACTTTGTTCTTTCCCAGGGAATGCTGGAAGGTGCACCTGAAGTTGCAAGACGTCTCAATGATACAACCCGCAAGTTTCTCTCACTCACAAGGAAATCTGCCGATGACTCAAACCGCGATGGCATCGAAGATACTCCGGCCTCTGCTCAAGCACAAGAGCAAGTTGTGTCACAACCCCCAGGACGGCACCCATCTGGTTCCGACTCTAGCACTTCTGGCTCGGGGAGTGGTGAATTCATGCTACAGAACCCGCCTGGTTTTAGCGCTTCTCAGGAGAAGAGCCTGTCAACTCCACGAAGACCGGACGCCACTATACGGCAACAGGCTACGCCTCCCTTGAACCTGCCTTACGAAATTATCACAATGCCAACTACAGATAATGCAAGTTTCCCGGTTTACGACACACAAACGACAATCAGTTTCGAGCAAAATCCTTTCCTCCAATCACCCTTTCCCAACGTCCATTCGCCAGCCACTTATGCGCCCCAAGAACGGAGTTTTGGTCGCCGCCTTCAGAGAGCAACTTTGGAGGCTGGTCTGAGGTTGGCATCGATGGCCAACCCACCTCCTCATCGATATGCTGAGGTCTTTGGATTTTGTCTACTATTCGAACCCAGGGAGTCTATCATCCGCCGCATATCTAGCACATTGGCAAGAGTGAGCCAGGAATCAATGTTTGTCTGGAGGTACCCTTTCACAAACCTGGGTGGTGCCGGGACTTTCTTCCCAAATAACGGAGAAGCCGGAGGAAGTACAGCAACAGGAGCCAACGGGAACGCGATACCGCTAGGAAATCAAGGGTTGACACAGCATATGAAGCCACAGGAGATGACTGGGTTTTCAATGGGCCCTTTTAACCCAGATGTTGAAGCGGCGAAAGGAGATCATATTGATACTCGCATGCGAATGATGTACCAGGGATTTGAAGGGGACTTCTTCGATGCAGATGAGGTGGAAACATATCTACGTCAACGGGGTATCGTGATACCTGCTAACGTGGATTTTATTGATGCTGAAATTGATATGGGCTCGTTTGACGCAACTCCAGATCTTTCGGGCTTAGGAACGAGCAGCAGCTTCTTCGGAACGCAGCAACCCCCTGCGTCAAGCCAGGCGCCTTATATGCCGTCTCAGCAAGCCACAAGTGACATAACGAGTATGTGGCAAAGCACGATACCTACCACCCTCGCTACCACCACAGCGTCAATGACACAAGCTCCTCTCATGGCACCTACAATGGGTGTTGACTTCATCAACATTATACCAACAGTTGAGGCAACCAACCCTGAGCAGTTCGGTGCAGGGATGGGATCTCTGATGGATTCATCATATTTTCCTCAAGATTGGGCCACAGATGCTAGTTGGATGAAGACAAAAGTGACGATGGACGTGAATCGACTAGTAGCAGGCGAGTTCCTTCAACTTGTGTTATGAAGCCAGTAACTAACAACGTATAGAAATGACAAGCAGGGCAGTCTGTTTAGGTCGCACGCCAGGCTTACGACCAAAGGATATAGACAAAGCAGTTAAGTTGTCTATCGTACTGGCTCAAGCATAATGTCACAATTCCTGTGCTTGCCATTGGGTATTATAATCTTGGGCGTTTAACTCCGATATGATTGAAAAAGAGCCTACGAATAGGCGCATTTGCATGGTGTTAGGGCAACATGAAACTCTTGTCAGACTTAGGAGTTGATTGAAGAAATATTCATGTAGAATATTATGAGCATATATCCCTGAAAAATCTAATCTACAATATGTTGAATTAAAAGGCGGCATGCCATATTTTCCTCAAAATATGTCATTATCTCCTCTCATTGCCCGGATGAACCCATGTTGGATTTGATCACGAGTGGGGCTCCGTATATGTCGTAATGCTCATCTTTAGCAATCAGTGAGGGGAGATTGTTCATCCCTTGATTTCACTATCTTGGTTTCTAAGTTCCAATAACTTGGTTGTGACCACCAAAGATGGAGTACCGAGTTCAAGAACAAACAACACCCAGACTGAAGCCTCGTCTGATCATTCACGGAGGCGCAGGTAATATCCAGCACGATACGTACCCACCGGAACAGTTTCGGGCTTATCGTAAAGCTCTCATTGACATTGTAAGTTCATAAATAGTAGCATGAGAAGCCCATATTCTTAAGTATCTAATTGGTCTTTTAGGTCACCAGAGCGGACCAGTACATGAAAAGTCATGAGATAGTCTCGGAAAAGTCATCCAAGAAGCTCCCTTCAGCTTTAGATACCGCAACCTACGCAGTCCGTCTTCTGGAGAACAATCCCCTATTCAACAGCGGACACGGCGCTGTGTTCACTCGCGATGGAGTCATTGAACTAGAGGCCTCAGTCATGGTATCCCGTGGTTATAAGAAGCGAGGTGTCGGTGTCATGGGTCTACGCCATGTGAAGAATCCCATCCTCCTAGCCCGAGCAATGCTTGAACATGGCGAAGACGATCTGGAGGCGAATCCCCGAGGAGTCGAGTCAGGCGATCTTGATGTCCCATCCGCACAGGGACATACACAGCTCTATGGAAAGGCCGCCGAGCAACTCGCGCAACAGTACGGACTAGAACTTGTCGACCCTAGTTACTTCTTCACCCAACGTCGTTGGGATGAGCATATCCGGGCTCTTGAGAGAGAAAGGAAAGGTCAGGGGCAAGCAACCTGGAGTGCGACTGAGTATCTACCTCAAGGAACATGCGGAGCAGTAGCCCTTGATCAAGACGGCGTGATCTGCGCCGCAACCAGTACAGGAGGTCTAACGAATAAGCTCACTGGTCGTATTGGCGACACGCCTGCAATTGGGTCAGGCTTCTGGGCAGAGGAATGGACCGAGGATGGTGATCCGACCGGGTCGTCCACGTGGGATCGCTTGAAGAATGCCATGACCCAGCCGGCCCCCTCACTGGTGCTCAGCGATGTTCTGAGAGGAACTTTGGCAGACTGCTTTCCGACTCCTGTGACGTATACTCCCCTCAAGCTCAGTGGTAAACGAGTCTCAACCACGAGATCCATTGGTGGCTCTGGAACTGGCAACGGCGATTCCTTTCTGAGGACAAATGCGCTACGGACCCTTGCAGCTATGGCGAGGTGGAAACCAGAGTCGGGTTCCAAGGCTGTAACTCATGTTGCAGGCCCAGGCGGAGAGCTGGAAAGAAGTGCGGGTGATAGATGGCGCCGGACAGGTGAGGGTGAAGGCGGCATCATTGGCATCGAGAGTGTTGTCGTTCGTGATTCGCATGGCCAAATCATTGAGACTCGGTCTGAAGTCCTAATGGATTTCAACTGCGGAGGCATGTTTCGAGCCTGGATTGATGACGAGGGAGAG